TCATGTTCTGTTGTAAAAAACAAAAAAAGAAATGTATGCCAAGAAGAGAGACAGATCTTGCGGTCTCAACATACACTTTCTAACCAGACCAAAAGGCGGGTGAAGTGGATAACTGAAAGGCGCCGATCGATTAAAAGAACAGTAGTAAAGCCACTAACAAGCTGGGCCGATCTATTAAATGTGTGGGTGCGCAATGCACAAAATCATGGAAAAGTTGTCGAATTCACAGATGAAGATAACGACTACGAATTTAACAGTCAATAAAACCATTCCACTTTACCATGGCTATCCGACAATGATTATGAGGATCCCATGCCTCTGAAGTTATTGGGGCTTTTCAGCCGCGAGTATGCTAGTCTTCCGATTCTGGGCTGCGTACCTCCAATAATTACTCATAATTTGTTTGATGTACAAGCGCCATTCCTTCGATACCTTCCAAGTAGCTATTAACAGCTTATTATTGCTCATTATTGGTTGTTCATGAACGATTTGTTCGGGGACAAAATTCTGCCAAAGTTGGCATACTTATTACGCAAGAATTAAGAGAATTTATGATTCGAAAGTTGATGTAAATCATAAAATGGCTTTTAAAATCTCTATAAAAAGGATGTTTATTAATTTTAAAAAAACAAACTTCTTTGGTGCTTTAATTCCAAGCGATGGATGAGGAAGCAGGAAGAATGGCATTTTGTTGAATTTTGGAAGTTGGTTTCTTTCAACGACATCCAAAACCCAAGGCGGTACGAAGTCAGAAAGCATTTGTGACTCGGTTTCATGAGCCGCATCGCGTATTATCAATCGAAATATCGGCCGACCAGTTGATTCGCTGGAAAATACCTAGGCTGTGACGCACCATGATTGCCGGTATGACCATGCGTTTTTGCGCTAAACTTGCAGATTTTTAACAGCAGGAATGGTTCTGACATTGAGGCTTAACGCTTGGACTCACACTGGCTGTATTTTGACCTTTTTTCCGCATGCAGGGAGAAAGGGCCCAGCTGGAGTGAAGGCTTTGTATTATAGGGCTGCATGGATTGCCAGTATACATGATTACTAGTGTTTTGGATGAAGCCCGGTCATTTTTTCGATGATCACTCATTGAAAAAAAAGCTGATTTGAACAAAGTCTGGAGAGGATTATGAAATCCGCAAAATACACTCGTTTTTGAGCTTGCGATAAACTGGTGTATTTCTCATGTCTGCGTACAAGGAATTCCATTTCAAAGCTGAATTTAGTCCACACGTGAATGTAGAATAACCCTGTAAATTGTCAGTTTATCAGCCTATCTAGTAAGCAAAATAACCATTTCACTACAAATATTTTTGAAGTGCTCTAAGCCGTGGCGCAGATGTAAACTGAAACTCAATTTATGTATACGATTTTCCAAATGGACGGAAAATAATCTGGCAAAATCTCAGTTACTATTTTTCAGCTAGTTTTCGAGTTGGCACGGTGCCAGCTGCGAGATTTGATGTGATCGTAAGCGCAGTGCAAGTGTGCTTGATAGCTGAATTTAAAATCCCTGGCTCATTGCATGCACAAAGAATATGGCTGCAAAGTTCCAGCTTTTTGCTTTGTCTAGTTCACGAAGTCGTTTCCTGCAAAGAAATTTGTATATTTTTATCGGGCTACCAAAACCTTTGCTTTTTTAAATGTTAGCCGTTATGTTGTCTATGCATTCTTTATTCAAACGACATAACTGGCGGAATTATACTATTTGACGAGCATTTTTTAAAGCAATTTTTCTTTGAAATGGGGTAAATTTGCATAAATTTTTGCATACCATAATATGAGAGGAGTGTGATCGGGCACCGAATTGAATCGATGTGTTGGCGAATCTTCATCAATGTCCGAAAATGATCGTGACCAGTGTTCAAACAGTGCTCGAAGTAACATGCCACCATAATTTACTGCAAATATTTCCTACGTTGCTCAACGTTCGCCAAGGGCACCCTGCCAAATGTGTTCACATTTGGAGAATCGCTCTACCAGGAGACAAAACGAACCACTGCAAGCCGACTATCAGATAATGCAGCAATGATTAAATAACTAGAAAAGCTGCTAAATGTACAGCTGAAGGACCAACTATGAACTATAGCTGATCAACGCAAGTGTCACTATCTCATTTTTTTAAATAACACTAAAAAGAAATGGAAGAAGAATTACTTTTGGTTTCGCTGGTACTATCGAAGAAACCGGCATCTTTTGCTGATACCCATGCCGAAAAGAAATCTGACTCATCCAGTGTTATTTGTAACATCTACAATAAAAGTAGAGCGAACAATCTAACAATTATAGGCAGTTCAGCTCGAAAAAAATTTGCTGTTTGGTAATACATTTGTGAATCCAATTAAAATAGCAACAGATGTCGTTACAGATCAAAAAGTATATCTTTTTCTGATTTCCATATTAGTGCATTATCAGTCACTATGTAACAGAGAGATTGAAATTTAATGAATGTGCCAGGGAAAAAAGGTTTCTTTAACCGATCGGTACTGAGTAAATTCATCTACCCCGTAGATGTGGGAATTAAAAGCTTAGTTAGTAAATTATTCTCATGAACGCTGCCTCTCATAATTTACATAGAATTACTACCTGTCTCATATGTTGGTTTCCTCCTCTTCCATCTGCTCTGTCACTTTTATTACTTTCATGCTATTATACTTTCTCTCCTTCTCTTTCCCTTTCGTTTATCCTTCTTGCAAATTAGTTACATATCCTTCCAATACATGACGGGTAGGAGGCTGTACTGACGATTCCCATTCCTACCCGCATGCTGCGTTCAGTCAGTGTTTACAGCTAAGGGATGAAACACAGATTGCATCGTGAAATGTCTTCTTATACATGACACCTAATTCCAATCTTCTTACTTCACTATTCTTTAATGCCATATTCAACAGTAAAGGGATCTCAACGGCGAGAGCTTGAAGGAGTCTTGCTCGCTGACAAATTATTCGAATTCATGCTGGTATTCCCGAAAGGAACAAGCAGAATTAGTTGCTCGACTAATTTCCTCGGAAAAATGATTTTTGGGTAGCAGAAAATGTTAACTAAGGATGTAGCATGTTCTTATAAAAGAAAGCAATAGCTCAAGGAAAGGGGGATGCTAAATTCGACGGATACAGACAGCTACTAATGTTCTTTCCGGCCGAAGCTCGAACTGCAGTGACCGCATTTGAACGGCTTCTCACCAGTATGAGTTCGCAAGTGTCTTTGCAAGTCTGTTTTCTGGTGCTAATATTCACGGCAAACCATTTCGATCTCAATCACATCACAAAACTTGCTTTTTGCACTCCGAGATGAATAATTAGTTTACTGCCAATGAAAGGCCAAACAAGTATAGCGGAAGAAGAAATTGGTTTAAATTTGTAACGCGGGGAACCTAGGAATGTAAAAAACCTGTCTCCAAAACTTGCGTTTTTACACTTTTCGAACTTAGAATTGTAAAAAGCAGGTTTTGGAGACTTAACCGCATCCTGGCTCTTTGCAAGCCAATTGCCCAGAAAATGAGTGTTTAAATTCTGATACATAGTATATGTTATAGGCAAATGTTATAAAACTGAGTATGAGAATTCAGATTACTCACACCGCTCTTCAGATCAACAGTAAACCATGACGGCACGAATACTTTCTTGAAATTATCCTTGATCACTTCCTCCATTGGTCTCTTCCCATGATCAGAAACCTCAAATAGTGGTTGCTTTAATTTAGACAATTCTGCGAAACCACTTTTGAATTCGCTGAACTTTTTTCCTACAAATCAATACTTCTCCATCTAAGGTTTCACTACGTCCATGAAAAATAGCTCAAGAGATACCAGATATCGTCAAGACTCCCTCCCTCCCGTTTTTCATGAAAAACACAAGAATTTGGGAGTGCCCCGGCTGGTAGCACGTGCCAGCAGCAACAGCTTGCTGGAAAGGTTTTCGATGGATCTTTTTTCTAAAAGTTAATGATACAAACAATGGAAAATCATGGAAAATAAAAATATATTTCCAAAAAGTCGGGTGAGTGAAAATCCTCCAATACATTCACTAAAAAAGTAAATTATGAAATTGAAATTATCTAAAATTAGACATAAACGAGGAAAAAACGACAGGATTGACAAACTGTGTGTGATCAAATGAGAAAAATTCAACTAAACTGCAGGTCCACTGAATGTCAGCCAGTCAGGTTTTTTGTGGATTTTGGATTTTAGCGGAAAAAATGAATAATTGACAGGCCTTAAAGCTCCGAAGGCTGTTCATATCAAAAAAAACATAAATTTTTGAAAATAGAAGTTCTGGAAATTCCAAACCTTTTTGCCTTTTAGCACATCCCACATTGCAACGTTATCGTCAGTATCTTTTGTGATAATGTGTCGTTTATCATTCAGGACCACATGCTGCCTGATACTAGCGGCGCCTAAAATTCGAAACTAAAAATGGCCTATCTTAAGAACTTTGGAATTTGACATCTTTGGAATCTTAACTTTTTTAATCCTAATCTTTAAACTTTTTAATCTTAATCTTAAGAACTTTGGAATCTTAACATTTTCTTAGAGTCATCAAATTGTAAGAACTACAGCCAAAATAACTTTGAAATGCCTGAAATGCAGTTAAACACTAAGTCCAGTTATATCAGGCCTCCTTTTTAATTTAAATACAGCTTGTGCGCGAAAACGAAACGTGGAAAGGATAAAATCTGAAAGTACAAGCTTTAAATATTCCATTCGTTCCACCTTTGCACCCAAGTATAGCTTTAAATCTAGAAAAAAAACGTTGAGACACGCTAAGCGTGCGGAAAAATAGGTTTCATGGAAATTCGCTATCAACAGAAAAATAATTTAAGTGGAAATTTACCATAAGAAAGGTGTAGCTGACTTTCAGAATCTTCAATCAATAAAAAACGTGACTTCTTATCACCAAAATTTTCTAAATTCACATATCAACACCGCTAAATTCGTCTCTAACCTGGAATGATAACATCAGGCTCGTAAACGCACGGTACCATCTCCTCGTAGAAATCCTTTTCGGCAGCCAATGCAAGCTGTGCTTCACTTGGCAACGGCCATCGTTTGATTGATGAATTCCAGGTTGCCGTCCAAACGAAACGCGGTTGATCCACATCAGTTAGTTGTAACTAAACAATGATCAGAGTATTTCCAGTCAAAACAATATCGCGGGTTTCCACTGTAAATAAATTTATCAACGAATAAATAGCAACGCGCACCAGACTAGCCGGTACGATCATACGTTTTGTGCAATTCAGCCCATCGAACGGTTGCCTATTAATGATTTTCACTGCTTTGTACTT